TGGTGGTGCAGAGGTAAAATGCAATGCTCTGGGAAGCAGATTCGCATGAGAAGGTTGACGATTCACTTCTGGAGATATTACTGGGTACACAGGTGCATATGTGCCCATATTCTGGGCTGCTCAGGGCTGGGTGGATTGTGGTATAAAGACCCTTTGGTGGTGCAATATCTGTCTCTCTCACTCATTAAATAAATAAATTTTAAAAATAAAAGCCTTGGACCAGCTAGTTTTGAGGTGGTTAAAGTGACTTGATCTCACATGGGTGACTGAGCAGTTCAAGTTTTGGACCTGGTGATTTGAGAAACACACTGGGCATGTGTGTGTGCATGCCCAAATCCTGAGTATAATGGAAGAGACAAGATTTTGGTGTGACCATCCTTCATGGGGATGCCTTCTCACTTTCTCTCTCTCTCACTCTCCCTCTCCATCCCCCTCAACCATGACTTCAAGTACTCTCTGGCAAATTAAAAAAAAAAATTAAAAAGTCACATGCTAATACTGGGTTTGGATCCCTAGGTTACCCTGAAAACATAGCAGGCATGTGCAGAAGTGCCCAAGATCCTGAGGAACTGTAGAGCTGGGGAAAGGAGACTGCAGCATGATGAGACCTTATCGAGAGTGTCTTTTCCTCTCTCTGTCTGCCATGGCACACACATACAGATGCATGCTCTATATAAAAAATTAAATTAATAAACAAAAATAAAAAGGTCCTAGGAGACCTTGAGATGGATCTCTCCAGTAATCAGTTACAAGTGCAGATAGAGGCTTGAAAGAGAAGTCAGGGCTTGAGGAATAAATTTAAATGTGATCTATACACAAGTGATAATAAAAACTTGTGGATACAAAAGATGATTTTGTGAATTGGATATGTGAAGAGGAGATAAAAGTGAATCAGAAGACTCTAGAAGAAAATAACAAAGAAAGAATGGAAATGAAAAATGAGAGTGATTAGACAAAATGAAAGGGAAAGGTAGAACTCAAGGAGCAAAGAGGTTTCATGAAGAGGGTGGGGTCAATACAGCTGCTACAGAAGTGGTCTGCAGAGCCCTTGCATTTGACAATTAGGAATTGTCAATTTGACAATAGGAATCTATTAATGCCACTTGAATAAGGCACTATCAATAACGGTTAGAATCCACATGACAAAGGATAAAAAAGTGATGAAGTTAGAGCAGGTTATGTGAGTTAATTTCACAAAAGTATGAAGGTGGTAATGGGAAAAGAAAAAAATACTCGTAGGCTGACTTAAGGACTTTCTTTGTTCCTTTGCTTGTTTCTTTCTTTTTCTCTTTCTCGCTTTCTTTCTCGTTTTCTCTTTCTTTCTTTCTTTCTTTCTTTCTTTCTTTCTTTCTTTCTTTCTTTCTTTCTTTCTTTCTTTCTTTCTTTCTTTCTTTCTTTC